GTGGGGAAGTCCATTCTCCCCGGCCACAGGAATGTGGAATTTCCACCACTGGCTCAGAGCTGTACACCGAAGAGCACCGCGTGAGAGCTCATTGAAACCATTTCGAGCCAGTGGACTGGGCCCCCTCCTCCACGAGCCCACATGAAGCATGGACAAACAACTACGGTGACCCACACTGTGGCTGGGGGAGGGGGGGGGGCTTCATCCAGCAGTGGATTGAGTGGTTGACAAAGGTTTTATTTTCACGTCATTCATCCATTCATCGCCGCATTATTGTTGGATGAGTGGCAACTTTGGCACGCGACATGCTGGCCGCTCGCTGAGCCCACTCCCCTGGCGCCACTCTATTGCCTTACGTAACCCGCGAGCACAATTGGCCTCTTTCCCACGTGTATTAAGTACTTACCTGCCACGAGTATTTAGTACTTACCTGCCACGAGTATTAAGTACTTACCTGCCACGAGTATTAAGTACTTACCTGCCACGAGTATTAAGTACTTACCTGCCACGAGTATTTAGTACTTACCTGCCACGAGTATTAAGTACTTACCTGCCACGAGTATTAAAAAAAAGAACAGAAAAAGTATTTACAAAAAAAATCCATGTATTGGGTCACAAATAGTGATTGTAGTGGGAATTTCGATGCAATTGTTCGGTGTGCGTGTGGGTGCATGCCGTGCCGGCCTTCATAGATGCTCGCTAGCACTTGCCCCAACAGTCTGTTAATGTTATATGGGGGATCGTTATCTTTGTCTTGTGCATTACAAATCATTCAAGCTACGGTTCAATTCCGGACCACGGCTAACATCAATAGTGAGTTATATCTGAGCCAGTCTGGTTTCTATTCTGGCAATGGAAGTCGGTGCGTGTGTGTACGTGTGTGTATATATGGGGAACAGTGGTGCAGTGGATCGTGCACTACCTTACAACATCTGCAACCTGAATTCAATTCCCATTAATCAGTGGTGGTTCTCCACTCGTTTCTGGGCACATCCTAGGTCGACTCAGCCATAAATGAATCCGTGGTGCGGTGTGTAAACAAAAGCACTGGGGAAACAAAGGCGGCCGGGAATGGTTCTGGCCACACCACAACAAAGTGCCTTAGGGGCCGTCCATAAATTACGTCACGCGATTTTGGACGATTTTTGACCCCCCCCCCCCCTTTCGTCACACGGCGTCACAAAAAGTCAGACCCCCCTCAAATATGACGTCACAAAGCTCTGCCCCCCCCTCTCCAAAATTGAAACATGCTTCAAATCGCTTTAAACTATTGTAATTGTAGGGCGTGTTTAATGTGGCGAGCACTCTGATGTTGTAGGAGAAAACATTTATTAAAAAGTATATTTAATTAAGTAGAACGTGTTGTCTATATTTATTTAAAGTTGCGATATTTTTATGTGACGTCACATTTCTCAACCCCCCCCCCTCGTCACACATCGTCACAAATGTCTGACCCCCCCCCACCCCTAGGTGCGTGATGTTATGTATGGACGGCCCCTTAACAGGTGCTCGCTAAAAGCATTTGCCCCAACAGTCCGATGCAGACTGGTACATTTGTCTTTGTTGGTCCGTAGACGCAAAGTTTCCTGAACAAAGAACCCCTGCTACGCTTCCTCGTTGTTGAGTGAATGGTTTGTTGATTGGCTGGTCTCGGATGGAAGAACACAAATTGCTGGGCACCACTCTCCCGAGCCTTCGCTTCGAACGCGCCCTGCCACGGCACCCCTCGGCCTGATCACCACGGAGTCCGTGTGGAGTGGCCAAGGGCGTCCTTCTGGAGTGGCCAACGGGGTTCGTGTGGAGTGGCCAGATACCCACACAGTCACCTACTCATTTACCCAGTCAGCCACTCACCAATACACTCGGCCACACACTCACCGACAGTCACCCACCCACACACTCATCCACACACCCACACACTAACCCACACACCCACACACTAACCCACACACCCACACGCTGACTCACCCACACACTCACCCACACATTCACTCACCCACACGCTCACTCACCCACACACTCACCCACACATTCACTCACCCACACACTCACCCACACACTCACCCACTCACACACCCACTCACCCACTCACTCACTAATCCACACAATCACCTACACACCCACACACTCACTCACCCACACACTCACCCACACACTCACTCACCCACACACTCACCCACACACTTACCCTCATTCGCATACGAAAGTCAGAGTGGCTTCCTCCTCCGATGAGCACTGAGACAGCTCTGGGCCAGTTGTTGAACCAGATGTTGAAATGCGACATTCCTATGGCGGGGGCAGGCCTATTTCGACGACAAATGATGACTTTCCCACGAAGTTGTACTTTTTCGATTTGAAGCTTTCGTGACTGCAAGGATTCATCTTCTTTGGTTCTTCGGTAAAGTCACGTAGAATGAGAATAAAATTATAAAATAACACAATAAAATTCTCACGACGTTTCGGCCACAACGCAAGCGGCCGTCTTCAGGTGAAAGGTACAGAACTGTCGGGACGACAGAGCTTCAATGAAGCTCTTGAAGCTCTGTCGTCCCGACAGTTCTGTACCTTTCACCTGAAGACGGCCGCTTGCGTTGTGGCCGAAACGTCGTGAGAGTTTTATTGTGTTATTTTATTATTTTATTCTCATTCTACGTGACTTTACCGAAAGAACCAAAGAAGATTAAGTTGTACTTGTTTTATTTATTAATTTTATCCACCCCAGAGGGATTTCAGCAGCAAGGGCGCAGTGATCTCTCGGGCTCGATTTCATGGGCGTCCTGCTACGGTACCGACGGCACCGTTGTTGCGCAGCACAGGGACCACAGGCTGAGTCAACCTCACGACCAAGATTGGAACTGGCAACTTTCGATTGAGAGCAACTCGATCTATCGTTGGCCGGACGCCCACAACTCTCACTGTTAGCGAGTAGCACCTATTAAGGTCGTAACGGCACACGAGGGGGTGGGTGGCCGTCTTTGTCTCCCTCGTGGCGATGTTTACACATTGTACCAGGTACTCATTTGAGGCTGAGTCGACCTAGGGGAGGTCCAGAATTGGTTCAGATAATTATCAGTGGTGTTGACCGTGAGCAAGAATCGAACTCAGGTCGCCGGGGTGATGTTGCAGTGCTTCTTACCCCCGCACGCACACGCGTGAGTATAAAGAGGTCCTTCATGAGAGGCGAGACACCCACACCACTCAAGACATCCCGGACCTGTCCGACTCGCTCGGCCAGCCGCGCGTCATGCACGCACGCGCGCGCAAACACACGCGCACACACACAAAGACAGGCACACACGCAAACACACACACACGCGCACACGCGCGCGCGCGCACACTCAAGTGTTAACATTGACCGAGGCGAGCCGGCAGGATTGAGGGCCTGTAACAAGCACTTGGTTGTTTTTGTTCCCAATTGGCAGTCATTCTCTCGGGTTCAAGTCGAACGACAATCATCGCCACCACCACCAGCAGCAGCGCGCCCCCCATCCTCCTCCCCCCTCCCCCCCACGAGAGTCGGTGGGGACCGCGCTGCCGGGTACAGCGACGGCGGCTGTACCCGTGCATGTTGAACTTATTTCTCACCGTGCGCAGCCAACCGTGCTCATCGGAGGTGTGGGGTGGGGGAAGGTCAAATTTAAAAGTGCAAATTTAAAAGTGCATAGCACCAGTGGCTTCCTAGCATCGGAGGAAAGAGCGTTCCAGACGGCCGCAGAAGCGCATCTGAGAGCGCCGCGCGATGCGGTGACCACCACCGTCTTTGTTCGATGGCAGCAGCCAGAAGCCGCTGCTGCTGCTGCTGTTACGAGGATGAGCGGGGTATGCGTGACGAGTTATGTCCCTTGACATTAGTGCTGTGTTGTTGCTGGCAAGGCAGCCTGCTGATGCGATTCAGAAAGCCGAAAGCGGCCCAGAGTTTGCTCTGTTGTTTTTGAAACACGATTGCCGAGCACGCCGAAAACATGCGAGCGGCCAGCAACAAACAGCACTGTTGTATTGTCAACGATTGTAATTGGTGAGAGTTAACGCGTTTCTTGACGACTTGGGAAAGGCTTTGGGAGAAGAGACGTTGGTTGGCAGGAGGGGAATTCCTAAGCGGGCGGAGCAGTGCGAGGGAAGAGGCAGAACGACTCCGTGCTTAAACAAATTCTTCTGGATCATATTTGGGTCTCGAAGTCCAATAGGCCGGTGGGCTAACTGGGGGGTGGGGGGCTGTTTTGAGTGTGGGGGGGGGGGGCACCAGGGGGGTGCGGGGGCACGGGGAAACCCACCCCGTGTGGGCCTCTCAACGCCTTCAAACTAAACAAGGAGAAGGTATTACATCTTACACCGTGGCATTGAAGCGCGTTCCCCCCTCCCCCAAAGCGCTGGGCCCGGGGCTATCGCCCGATTCGCCGTACGCCTCGGGACGACTCTGGGTGGCACTGAGCACGCGCTTTGACCCAAAACGTCGCCCTATTGTGTGGGTAGGCGAGCTCGCTTCACATCGCCATTAAACCCGCTGGGCCGTTAGGGGGCATTCAAGATTAAGGACGTGCGAGGTGACTACGACGATGCTGCTGCTGCTGCTGCCAAACTCGCCCAGAGCGCAACGAGTTCGCGACTCATCGCGCGGTGCGCACACGCGGACGGGGCCGAGGGCGCGCAGCGCGCAGCGGCCAGCAGCTGAGGGCACGAGGCGGGAGCAGCACGGAGAAGAACCAAGGTCCGGTGTAGGGGACATCTGCAGCCCTGGGTCAATCCACGGCTGGATAAGGACCTTGCCCACGCCGTGGTTGTCCTATTTGACCATTCTCGAGCGTGTGGGTCAGTGTGGAATGTCGAGTGCGCAGGGTTTAGTGTGAAACCAGTGGCTGGAGCTGCACCAGACTATTGTTGCCCGCAGTGCCCGTAGCACCCGGTTATGCATGGTGGTGGTTCGCCCATCCGAACGCTGTCCAGGCTCAACTCCTGCTTAGCATCTGAGATGGGATTGGGCGCATCCCGGGGCGATTGTGGTCACGTGCGAGCGAGTCGAGAGGAACGTGGAATTGCGGCGACGACGACGCCGATAGGCAGTTCCGTTGTGCCCGCGGGGGCAGCAAGCGGCGTCCTGCCGCCCGCACAGAGCGGCCCTCCCCCCCCCCTCCTCCCCCTCTCACTGTCGCTGCGTGCTGCTTGTGGGCAGCGCGAGCCTAGCGCGTCGCCCGCTCCGCCGGGCTCCTGCAGTGACTCACGGCGGCAGGCGGCGACGCCTCTGCGGCACGTGGACGCCGTGACGTCACAGGCCAAATTAGGACCGTGACGTCATCGCCAGCAGCAACCTTGCGCTATCCACTGCTGTGCATACCCCGTGCCACACAATGAGTGGTTCTTTTTTTGTTTGGAACATTTCGTCGTCGAGACATGAACCTGGCAACAAATGACCACTTCACAATCGTCAGAGCAGCGATGTCACACGTCAATCAATCATCCATACATCACAAACTCCCCCCCCACTCCCGTTCATCATCATCCACGTGCTGCCGCTGGTGGTGTTGGGAATGCGCGCGGGCTGACTGCGTGCCCCACGCCACCCACGCAGCAGCGGCAGCCCCATCCCTTGGGCGGCGAGCGACGCAGAACGTCGTGGCCTCCGGGTGGGCCGGTGTGGGTGAGGGATGCGAGCGAGTGAGCGAGTCTTGTGGTTCAAGTCTGTCCTGCCCTCCACCCCTCCTCCCGGAGCCGCAGCCTAGCCCCTGCCTCTCCGCTCTGTCACTTGAATCTCCCCTGCCCGGGTGAGGGTGGAGCGTGTCGTGTGTGCGTGTGTGTCGCCTGTGTGTGTCGTGTGCGGGCGGGCGGGCGGGCGGTCGGTCCCACTGCCTCGCTCACGCACGCCACGGGCACCGCTCACGGCCAGCCCGCCGACATCTCTCCGCCTCCCTCGCTCGCTCTCCCCCGGCTGCTCGCGATCGCCGATCTCACGACCGCCGACTCCGTCGATGCCTTCGGTGGTCACCTGCAGTCGATCCCCACCGGCCCAGGGTACGCGGCGTTCGAGATCCACGCCCGTGTCGTGCCATCCTCGTGGTGGTTGGTTTCGTTTTGGTTTTTTTCCACTGCCTTTTCGTGCCGCGCCGTGTTCGATGAGCCAGTGTCTTGAGTGTTCGGATGAAAGTGTCCTCGTTTCTATGTCAAACGCAATCTAAAGTAGCAGGCAGAGAGATATGTTGTGTTTATCTATGTCATAGAGACATACATACTTACACTCGGGGCTTAATTTATCACTGAATATTTTCTGAATCGTTCATAAAGTGGTTTTCTGGCTGTAGGTATACTGGATGTGGTGTGCTGGCTGGAAGTATACTGGACGTGGTGTGGCTGACTAGGTGAGCAAATGTTTTCCGGGTCACGGAAACCGGACAAACTTAGATATGATTTGTTGTGTGGTCTGTGCGTGTTTACCAGGTGTGTGTGTTTACAAGGTGTGTGTGTGCGTGTTTACCAGGTGTGTTGTGGTTTACCAGTGTGTGTGGTGCGTGTTACCAGGTGTGTGTGTGCTTGTTTACCAGGTGTGTGTGTGCGTGTTTACCAGGTGTGTGTGGTGTGTGCGTGTTTACCAAGTGTGTGTGTGTGTGCGTGTTTACCAAGTGTGTGTGTTACCAAGTATGTGTGTGCGTGTTTACCAGGTGTGTGCGTGTTTACCAGGTGTGTGTGTGTTACCAGGGTGTGTGGTTTACCAGGTGTGTGTGTGTTTACCAGGTGTGTGTGTGTGGTTTACCAGGTGTGTGTGTTGTGTGTTTACCAGGTGTGTGTGTGTGTTTACCAGGTGTGTGTGTGTGTGCGTGTTTACCAGGTGTGCGTGTGTTTACCAGGTGTGTGTGCGTGTGCGTGTTTACCAGGTGTGTGTGTGTGTTTGTTACCAGGTGTGTGTGTGTGTGTGCGTGTTTACCCAGGTGTGCGTGTGTTTACCAGGTGTGTGTGCGTGTGCGTGTTTACCAGGTGTGTGTGTGTATGTGTGTGTTTACCAGGTGTGTGTGTGTATGTGTGTGTTTACCAGGTGTGTGTGTGTGTGTGCGTGTTTACCAGGTGTGTGTTTACCAGGTGTGCGTGTGTGTTTACCAGGTGTGTGTGCGTGTTTACCAGGTGTGTGTGCGTGTGTGCGTGTTTACCAGGTGTGTGTGTGTTTACCAGGTGTGTGTGTGCGTGTTTACCAGGTGTGTGTGTGTGTGTGCGTGTTTACCAGGTTGTGTGTGTTTACCAGGTGTGTGTGTGTGTTTACCAGGTGTGTGTGTGCGTGTTTACCAGGTGTGTATGCGTGTGTGCGTGTTACCAGGTGTGTGTGTGTGCGTGTTTACCAGGTGTGTGTGTGTTACCAGGTGTGTGTGTGCGTTTTACCAGGTGTGTGTGTGTTTACCAGGTGTGTGTGTGTGTGTGTTCACCAGGTGTGTGCGTGTTTACCAGGTGTGTGTGTGAGAAGATGGTTTCAAATTAAGCAACCATTTGGAAAGATGTTCTAAATCGAACTAAACATTAAAGCTAATTCAATGGTACAGTATATTTTTCAAGTAGTGGTACCCCAAACTTTCGCAGCTCTTATATAAATTCCCTTTTCACACCATCAATAGGTAAACTCCCCCCCACCGCGCCAAACAGCAAGTCCACCGGCACGTACACCACCTCTTTTCTATAATCGGCCAATCAATGCTAATTTTTATGCTAATTTCTTTGTCAGGACACCTTGTTTGCTCGCACACAGCTTAAAGGTCCGCGGTCTGAGCGTGGTTTGTGTTTCGCTAAATTCTGCCTGTTTGATTTGTACTAGGTGCCTCGGTGAATGTATATGCTCTGACTTTAACATAGCTATTTCTGAGTGACCAGTTAGCAAGCTAATCACTCAGCTATTTCAATGCTAAATTCTATGCTAATTCCTTTGTAAAGGGGTGCCTCTGCGGATGTGTATACTTTAACTTAGCTATTTCAATGCTAAATTCTATGCTAATTCCTTTATCAAGGGGTGCCTTTGCGGATGTGTATGCTTTAACTTTAACATAGCCATTTCTGTGACCAGCCACAAGCTAATCACTCAGCCATTTCATTCCTTTGTCAAGGCGCTTTGTTTCTTCTCACACGGCTTAAAGGTCGTGATCTGAGCGTGGCTTTTTTCACTCCAGTGCTGTCCTCCAGACAGTCTCGTCCCTCACCTGATGAAGGCCGCTTGTGTTGTGGCCGAAAGCGTCGTGATTTTTGTTATTTTATCTTTTTTATACCTACTTGACTTTACCCAATAGAACCAGAGAGTGTGTGTGTGCGTGTTTACCAGGTGTGTGTGTGTTTACCAGGTGTGTGTGTGTGTTTACCAGGTGTGTTGGTGTGTGCGTGTTTACCAGGTGTGTGTGTGCGTGTTTACCAGGTGTGTGTGTGCGTGTTTACCAGGTGTGTGTGTGTGTGCGTGTTACCAGTGTGTGTGTGCGTGTTTACCAGTGTGTGTGTGTTTACCAGGTGTATGTGTGCGTGTTTACCAAGTGTGTTTACCAGGTGTGTGTGTGCGTGTTTACCAAGTGTGTGTGTTTACCAGGTGTGTGTGTGCGTGTTTACCAAGTGTGTGTTTACCAGGTGTGTGTGTTTACCAGGTGTGTGTGTGTGTGTGCGTGTTTACCAGGTGTGTGTGTTTACCAGGTGTGTGTGTGTGTGTGTTTACCAGGTGTGTGTGTTTACCAGGTGTGTGTGTGTGTGTGTGCGTGTTTACCAGGTGTGTGTGTTTACCAGGTGTGTGTGTGTGTTTACCAGGTGTGTGTGTGCGTGTTTACCAGGTGTGTATGCGTGTGTGCGTGTTTACCAGGTGTGTGTGTGTGCGTGTTTACCAGGTGTGTGTGTGTTTACCAGGTGTGTGTGTGCGTGTTTACCAGGTGTGTGTGTGTTTACCAGGTGTGTGTGTGTGTGTGTTCACCAGGTGTGTGCGTGTTTACCAGGTGTGTGTGTGAGAAGATGGTTTCAAATTAAGCAACCATTGGAAAGATGTTCTAAATCGAACTAAACATTAAACTAATTTCAATGGTACAGTATATTTTTCAAGTAGTGTACCCAAACTTTCGCAGCTCTTATATAAAATTCCCTTTTCACACCATCAATAGGTAAACTCCCCCCCCCCCCGCGCCAAACAGCAAGTCCACCGGCACGTACACCACCTCTTTTCTAAAATCGGCCAATCAAATGCTAATTTTTATGCTAATTTCTTTGTCAGGACACCTTGTTTGCTCGCACACAGCTTAAAGGTCCGCGGTCTGAGCGTGGTTGTGTTTCGCTAAATTCTGCTGTTTGATTTGTACTAGGTGCCTCGGTGAATGTATATGCTCTGACTTTAACATAGCTATTTCTGTGACCAGTTGCAAGCTAATCACTCAGCTATTTCAATGCTAAATTCTACGCTAATTCCTTTGTAAAGGGGTGCCTCTGCGGATGTGTATACTTTAACTTAGCTATTTCAATGCTAAATTCTATGCTAATTCCCTTGTCAAGGGGTGCCTTTGCGGATGTGTATGCTTTAACTTTAACATAGCCATTTCTGTGGCCAGTCACAAGCTAATCACTCAGCCATTTCACTGCTAAATTATATGCTAATTCCTTTGTCAAGGCGCTTTGTTTCTTCTCACACAGCGTAAAGGTCGTGATCTGAGCGTGGCTTTTTTCACTCCAGCGCTGTCCTCCAGACAGTCTCGTCCCTTCACCTGATGAAGGCCGCTTGTGTTGTGCCGAAACGTCGTGATTTTTGTTATTTTTATCTTTTTACCTACGTGACTTACCCAATAGAACCAGAGAGTTGTGTGTGTGCGTGTTTACCAGGTGTGTGTGTGTTTACCAGGTGTGTGTGTGTGTTTACCAGGTGTGTGTGTGTGTGCGTGTTTACCAGGTGTGTGTGTGTGCGTGTTTACCAGGTGTGTGTGTGCGTGTTTACCAGGTGTGGTGTGTGTGTGCGTGTTTACCAAGTGTGTGTGTGCGTGTTTACCAGGTGTGTGTGTGTTTACCAGGTGTATGTGTGCGTGTTTACCAAGTGTGTTTACCAGGTGTGTGTGTGCGTGTTTACCAAGTGTGTGTGTTTACCAGGTGTGTGTGTGCGTGTTTACCAAGTGTGTGTTTACCAGGTGTGTGTGTTTACCAGGTGTGTGTGTGTGTTTACCAGGTGTGTGTGTTTACCAGGTGTGTGTGTGTGTGTGTTTACCAGGTGTGTGTGTTTACCAGGTGTGTGTGTGTTTACCACCACACACACACATGCTTCGCGAGTGTCGCCTGTGTGTCTGTGTGCTGTGAGGACGGCACTGCTCCGTGTTTACACGAGGCACTCGTTGTCTCTATGCCCCGCAGTGATGTAAGTGGCTTCAAGTGAGCCGAGATGACCCAGCATCTGCGCCGCAGAAACCCACCCGGGGCAGCGAGTCGAGCGATCGGAGAGAGCCACCCCACCTGTGCGCTCCCGTCGGCTCTCTCGGCCACGTCTCAGTGTTGTACACCGCGCGAGCGCACCCAGGATAGCCTCGCCGAGTCTCGCGACTCTTCCTCGGGAGGGTCCTGCCAGGGGAAGACGATGTGCGCGATCCCGATTGAGTAACGGTCAGGAATCACGCGCAAGACAAATTGTTTCAGCACTTGGGATGTTCGGCCCAATCGCGTGGACGTTGCGTGTTCGGTTTCGTCGTGGGAAGAGGAGGAGACTCTGGAGCAGCCGGAAGAACCTCCCCCCCCCCCCCCCCACAGCAGCACAGGCGGAGGTCTCAGAACGTCTCGCAGAAAGGCGCCCGAGTCGGGGATCGAACGCAGCCGGCGCTTCTTGCTGAGAGGGGCGAGAGTTGACACTTGCGACAATCTGCCGCCCCCAAAATTATATAAGTGGCCCACGTGTGTGTTGTAGTAAGTCGTCTTGTGGGGGGCTCAGTAACAACCCACGTGTGTGTTGTAGTAAGTCGTCTTGTGGGGGGCTCAGTGACAACTCACGTGTGTGCTGTAGTAAGTCGTCTTGTGGGGGGCTCAGTGACAACTCGCGTGTGTGTTGTAGTAAGTCGTCTTGTGGGGGGCTCAGTGACAACCCACGTGTGTGCTGTAGTAAGTCGTCTTGTGGGGGGCTCACTGACTACCCACGTGTGTGTTGTAGTAAGTCGTCTTGTGGGGGGCTCAGTGACAACTCACGTGTGTGTTGTAGTAAGTCGTCTTGTGGGGGGCTCAGTGACAACTCACGTGTGTGTTGTAGTAAGTCGTCTAGTGGGGGGCTCAGTGACAACCCACGTGTGTGTTGTAGTAAGTCGTCTTGTGGGGGGCTCAGTGACAACCCACGTGTGTGTTGTAGTAAGTCGTCTTGTGGGGGGCTCAGTAACAACTCACGTGTGTGCTGTAGTAA